GATTGTAATCTTTTTCCTTTGTCCAAGGTTTTTTCCCATTAGGTTTTCCTTAGCAAAGTTTTAATGAGGCAATCTAAACAAATCACATACAAGAATATTGTATTCTTTTCCCTTTACTAAAGGTTTTTTCCCACTGGATTTTCCTTGGTAAGGCTTTAACAAAACATATTCTCAGTATATGATTATCCAAAGGGGAGTGTTGTGAAATATTTGGATAACCATCAAAAGAGACATAATTAGAATTCTAATGAGTTTTGGGCCAAAGTGTAAATAGGAAAAAGCTTTACCATGTGAGTAGTGTGGCATACCATGTGGTAAATCACATGGTGTGGTGAATAGCAGTGAATAGTTAGGGTTTTATTACTTATAAAGAGGTGAGCTTGTATGATAATAAAGATATAAAAAAAAAAAACTCTTTATTTCATCTTCTATTGTGACTCTTTTTTCTTTATTTTTTTTTTTAGTTTTATAACAACAACTATATAAGCTCCATAGTAGAGGAGAAGTAAACACCATAAAGACTGTCAAACTATTTTTTTCATAGAAGTCGAACTTACAACTTCACGTTACAAAGCAATAGTACACAATCACGAAGTCAAGTTAATACAAAAATTTAATCATTTCTTTTCTATCTTATCACATGGGAATCTTTTCTCTTTTGTGGCATGCAATGCTCTTACACGATTCTAATTTTATAGAACTAATCACTAAAGAGGTAATGTTTTGTATTAATTGTTGTGCTAAATATAATTATGTATACATATTATTATTATTATTATATAAAAGATGAACTATTTGGATGATTGAGATCATGTTAATGAATTAGGACCCACTTCTTAATTAGTATTTTTCCATCATCTTTTGTATATCACAACCCAAGCATTCCCCAACCCTCCCTTTGCCGTGGTTGCTCATTCTTCTTCCTTATTTGATGTTTGTTTGGAATTTTCTTTATAGATCCTAGGCATTATTTGAGTTTTTTTAATAAGTATTAGTAAGTTGATTTAAATATTTTGTGAGACAGTAAGAGATTTTTTTTGAGTGTGTTTGGAGGCCTTGTTAAAATTTGGTAGTTGTTTGAACCTCTCCTCTTACTTGCTTATCCATTTCAAGGCTTAAAAAGCTTATTTGGTGGGAATTTCTCTATTTTCTTTATACAAGCATCCTACGGCTTCTTCTTCTTCTTCTTTTGTTTTTTATTTATTTTTTATTTTTTCCCCTCCCCATTATCTCATGTTGTATTTGATACCTACATTATTGTGAGATTATAAAATCCATTCACATAGATTGTTGTAAAAATTTAACAAAGAGGTGAACTTTTGTTTCAAAATTGTACAAAATAAAATATGACCGATGCTGTCTAAGTGATTTTCAGTTGAGAACACATGATGAGGTTAAAAGTGTTTCTCTAAAACAGAATGAAAAATCTAGAAATCCCCTAGATATTGATTTGTAATTATGTATCAATTTTAACGAGTAAATAGCAATTCTAATCAAACAATCAAAGACAAATCAATACAACAATTTAACGTGGAAAAACCACAATTGGAGCGCCTCCAATTATGATAAAAAATCACGGGCAAAAGTCACAAAACAATCCACTAAGAAGACATAAAGGAATTACATAAGTGTACTCTCAATTACTTAGCGAATCCACGCCCGAATCGAACCGACCCCTATATGCCTCTTCCAGCCTCGTCTTTACCTCGAAATTGTTGTGCCCAACATTGAAACCACAACGCCGATGTTGAATCACGACGATGAGCCACTCCAGAATCCACCAAAGTTTCAGGCCTGAATACCCCAGAATCCACTAAAGAAGAACACTCTCTTTTGTATAGAATAAACAAAAAATCCTTTAATGTAGACTTCTTAAACCATGAGTTGAATACTCAATCAAACATCAAAGAAAACTAGCAAAATAGACCCGGAAGAAAACGCTAGAACTCTCAAAGAAGATTTGGAAGCCGTACCTTAAAATCTAATTAAAACACATATTTATAGAAAACTAAATCGTGATCTCCGTTTGAGCGCAAGAATGGCCACTCAAGCGGACTGACAATCGAGCGCAGGAAGTTCTGCTCGAGCGCAAAAACACAGCTTCCAGTATTTTTGCAGACAGTTCAAACTTCTAGAACAAAAGATTCTCCGTTCGAGCGCACATAGTTAGCGAAATGACAATATGAAAGAATTAATTTCTAAAACATCTCTACAATGCATAATTCGAGTTTGATTCACATCTAAAAATCATAGCCTCACTGAAGTAAAAGATCGAATATAATTACAACTGAAAGGAGATTTATCAAATGAGATTGCCAAGAATTAAAACCTAACACAAAAAATAAAAAATAGTTTATTTTGGGTGCTCTTTACAGATTGAAGCATACCTCTTTCAAGTGGTAATAGTCTTCTTTTTATAGAGGTAGCGCTCCTTACCCTAATTATTTGTTTGATGAGTCTTTTAATTGGATTAGGCCGTTCTTAGATCTTGTTTGAGTTGAATCCAAGTGTATACTTTTGATCTCACAATTATTATTTTGTATTTTTCTTACCCACTATCTTATTTGCTAATATTTTATAGTGATTTTAATATCATGAAATGGTAGCAATGGTAATTCAAGCAACATCAATTATATTATATAAAAAAGAGAGTACAAAGTTTAGCATGAGAAAATAAACGAAGGTATTGTTTGGAAAGTTAGTTATAGTTAAATTTTTTGTAGTTTGATATGATATTTGTAAGAGAAAAAATGAAATAGTTATAAATTTGATGTGACATTTTATCTTATTAGCTATTTTAGTCTATTTTGTTTTTTTGTGAATTTTAACCAAAACCTACTTGCCAAACAAGGCCTAAGTCTCAAGAGATTAGCAAATAGAAATAGATCGTGGAAACAATAAGATAGGGAAGTGTTTGGGTGTGCAAGATCCATATCATATATACTTGTGTAAATTTTCACAAATATACATAAGTTATCTTACAAAATCGCTTTAGTTCTCACAAATATACATAAGTTGTGGCCTATGTATATTTGTAAAAATTACACAATTTTATGAAATAACTTACATATATTTATGAGAACTTATACAAATACATATAATACGCATTTACACATTTAAAAATTGCCCAATAACAAGGACTAAAAAGCTAGAAAAAAAGCTTGTGCAATTGTCAGAAAAGGGGACTGGAGCCCCAAAGAATATGTATTAGATTTATAACTTTCAAAGACACATTTTATATTGAAAATGTGGATAGTCTTGAAATCCTAAAAAGTAAGTGTGCTTATGATTATATTTGATGAGTTGTGATAAGACAAAAAATGAGTTGTGATATGCATTTTGTCACGTTCAAACTTACTTTGTTTAAAATAAAATAAAAATAATAAAGTGTCAATGAAATACAGGAAATGTATAGGAAAATACATGTTATAATTACTTTGAAAAACGAATTAGAATCAATTTTGTACAATATTTTAAAACTCAGTGATTATACATTGACATTTAAATTTTCAATGAATTTACAAAAAAATTTAAATTAAATTAAAATGTTTAAAAAAACATTTACATAAATTCAAATTGGGTAATTATACCGACCTCTCTTAAAATATAGTTTGTCTTACAATTTTAGCATAATTGCACAAAACTTGTTTTAGTGAAACTAAAACCTAAAAGAATCAAAATTAATGAAGATGATGTGAAGACATACATATAAGGTAAAATATATATTTCAATATAAAAAAAATTTTTTTTAAAAGGTTTATTGGTAATAAGTCATTTCTACATGGGGTATGGCATTAAATCAAATAATTTATCTTTTATGTAGATAATAATATGATTAATGAAATTGTTTAGTGAGAAAGACAAATTATTATTTTGTTTTCATTTTTACCACACTACCGCTGGATCATAGTTGGACCACCATTTACATTGAAAAGTCACCGATGGCCATGTTAGTAGTGGTGATGATATGGATAGATAGATAGATTAGGTAAACATATAAGTGACATGTAGACAAATAAAAGAATGACATGTGGACATATAGATAAACCTTGGACAAATAGGTGCCGTGGATAAATATGTAGGAATAATATGGTCTTTCAAACTATATTATCATTTTGGCCTCAAAAGAATATAATTTGGCACTAATGCCCAAAAAAAATTAAAATTAGACTTACGGTTTGGGTTTGGGTTTCGTTTTTTTTGTTTTTGTTTTTTTTTTCTTTTTCCATTCATATGCTTAATAAAAATATGATAAAAATGGATTAAGTATTTTATAAATTAAAATTATAAGAAAGTGTAGATAACCGAAGGGTATGATTGAGAGTTATAAGTAGATCCAAATATTCCACATGCACATCCATGAGACGTTGAGTTAGTTATATATATGCATGCACGCGCACACATACATACGTACATCCCCTGAATCACATTGAGTACGAGTCATCTAATCTAACCAATACAAAAATTCTCTCTCTCTCTCTCTGCCTCTTTGTGTGTTTCTCTTTGTATTGGTTTCATCAGATCAGCCACAAATTTGGAGCTTTATTTACAGATTTCAATTTACAGGTAATTTAGATTCCATCACTTTTGGCATTGTTCGCACAATCATCTATGTTTGTTTGCTGAGAAAAACAGAGGAATGAAAAGTAAAATACATTTGGAATCTTATATATGGTTATTTTCACGTTGAATTTGTTTCTTGGAATATATAAAGAAAAAAGGCAAACTGTTAAATTTCTTTTGTTTTCTTAGGAACCAAACAGAGCAGTAAATTCTGGTTTTGTTTGATTTCTTGAATGAATGATGCGATAATTTTTATTTATTTATTTATTTTTGTATTACAGCGTTTCTAATGGTTTAGATCATGTTCTATATAGCTTGCTTCAATGTTTGATTCATTTTCTGGTTCTGGTACTGATGAGAAAATTGTAAGATGATTTAATGATCCTGAATTTTCAAATAAGTGATTTGTTTGATTTATTTTAGGCTAATGCCCATTTCTTTAGATGTCCATATAGTATATACACACAAATTTTATACATATTTTTGGTGAAACAGTATTTCTGTATTCTAATTGTAATCTCGCCTTTTCTGTTATTTTCGAATGAGCTCTTTTTGCCATTTCAACTGCTTAGGTGTCAGATGTCAAGCATAATTCTTGAATTACAATAATATTTTCATTCGATTTTTGTTGCGCTTCAGATAGAGACAGCATTGTCTTGATATCCCTGCTTTTCGAGCAAAGTTTTCTAGAGAGCCAGCCTAAAGATGCCGAGGAGTCGCTGGGGGGAGTCAATAAAGTCCTTGGGGAGTAGTCATATTGATCCTGAGAAAGATGAACAACTGAAGATGACTAAAATAGGTATATTGAGCCGTCCAAATTTAATTTAGATTGACAAATTTAAACCCTGTCTCGGATCATATTTGAAATTATATAGCCGCCCAAGTCTGACCCCTACTAATCCCCAAATGTGTTACAGCTGGGTTTCTGTTGAATCCCCAAATGTACATTATTCTGTCTTTTAAAGGCGTTGGTCAGTGGCTTGCGCTCTTCAAGCTCTCTTTCTTCGATATTTGAGAATTCAAGCTCTCCTTACTGCATCTTGATTCGTAGACTGTGTTTGGATCATGGATTTGAGTAGTGATTTGGTAGGAAAAGAGAAAATGTAGGTGAAATGTAATAATATTTTATTTATATTTCACCCACCTTTTTCCTTTTTCTTTTCAAATCTCTATCCAAATTCATGATCCAAACACAATGTTAAGCTATTATCTTTCCTCCACAAATGTTTGGCTTCCCCTGTACTAAATTCACAAGTTTACTTCTTACTGCAGAAATAGAAAATAAAGTAACAAAGATTATGAAGCTTATAAAGAAGAAGAACCAAGCCAAGAGAGATGGGAACTCGGCAACAGACTTGGAACTTAATGAACTTATCGATGATTTTCACAAACAGTACCAATCACTCTATGAACTTTATAGTAATCTCAGAGAAGAGGTAAGAGAAAAAGTTCACGGCAAAGAAAACAAGGAGGGCTCTTCTTCTACCTCCAGCTCTGACACAGAATCATATCATTCTGTTGATGAAGCAAGCGCTAGAAGCAGTCCGAGGAATAAATTTAACTCTATAATCGAAGAAAAGGAAGCTTTACATACGGAATACATGGCATCTCCAAGCAAAGTAAAAGAATCCGAGAAAACGATTAAGGAGTTAATGATTGAAGCAGAGGAAACAGAGACCACGAAACAGAAACTCATGAAAGAATGTGGCCAATTAAAGGAGAAATTGGTTGAAAGAGAGAAGGAATTGTTTTCCCTCTCTAGTGCAGCACACCAGGTTAATGAGAGTAAAGTACCGACTCAGATAAAGGAATTAGAACGCAAAGTTTCTAGCTTGAAACTTGAGAACAAAAACTTGTGCACCCGAAAGAGAGAACTTGAAGAGAAAGTCAAAGGTCGAGCCAAGGAAGCTAAACAACTAGGAGAGGAAAATTCAGGGCTGCGATCCCGTATTTTAGAACTTGAAATGACATCCAAAGAGAAAGAACATACACTTGCTGCTCTTCGAAGGAAACTTGAGGAAAATGAGAGTAACTCAATGTCTAAGATTGAGGATTTGATGGCACGCACCAACAATTTGCAATTGGAAGTGGACACTTTGCGAACTCAAAAAGGCGAAATGGAAGAACAAGTGTTGTTCAAGAGCAATGAAGCATCGGGTGAAGTCAAGGGCGTACTGGATCAGATTAATGTTTTACAACAGGAGCTGCATTCCTTAACCAGCCAGAAAAGTGAATCAGAATCGTCTGTACAGAAAGTAACTCAAGAAATATCACATTTCCTCATCCAGATAGAAAATTTGAAAAAGAAGTTAGAAAGCAAGACAATGGATTTACAGAGAATGCTAGAAGAGAAAGTGGGCTTAGAGAGACAAGTGAAGGACCAGGAGCTAGAAGTGGGTTCTCTACGCAGCAAGAAAAGTGAGTTGGAAGAACAGATGAGAAGTAAAAATTATGAGGCTGATCAGTTGAGAGAAGAAAAAGAAGGGTTACATGTTAGAATCTATCAGTTGGAGAAATCATTAAAGGAGAGGATTGATGAACTCTCTGCTCTCCAAATGAAGTTTGAGAATTTTGGGAATGATTCATCTTCTCAGATTAAGGCCTTAGTAGCAGAGTTGGATTCATTACGGGGTGAGAAAACCCAACTGGAGTTGAAGATTGAAAGAGAGAAACAAGGCTTAATGGAGAGATTGACTTGGATGGAGAAACAGAACATTGAATTGACAAGCAAGACCACGGAACATCAAACAACTATGAAAGGCCAAGAAGCTATTATCAACAAGTTGAACGATGAGCACAAACAAGTTAGAGATCGGTATCTTGAGTCCATGCTGAACCTGCAAATTGCAGAGAGAAAGATTGAAGAGACTGCAGAAGAATTTCGCAAGAAATTTGAAGATAGTCTCCGTATCTTGAGCAGGAGGATCCGTGTTGCAGAACAGTTACACGTGGAGAACAAAGATGTGTACAGAAAGACGAAAGAGACATACGAGAAACAACAAACGGACCTCAAAGAAAGGGTTGCAACTTCTGCAATCGCGGTCAAGAAAATGAAGGAAATTTCGCTGACGGCAAATGATATCTTGACTGGTTTAGATGTGGTGGCACTGAAATTCGAGGAGTGTAGTGGGAACTTCTTGAATCGAATTTCCAAGACTTCTTGTGAAGTCTTGTTTGCGAAGGATTGGGTGAGAAGGAAAAACAACGCGATAAAGCACGTTCAGGAAGACGTGGATTGTCTGCTTTCACAGCTGGATACGAAGGAAGCAGAGATATTGGGACTGAGAGAGAAGGTTTGGAAGTTGGAGAATATGGTGAGAGAATTGAAGAAGACGGTGAAAGAGAAAGAGGAAGGAATGTTGGGTATGAAGGAGGAGAAGAGAGAGGCTATAAGACAGTTATGTGTGTGGATTGATTATCATCGTAGTCGAAGTGATTATCTCAAGAAAATTCTCTCTGATATGATTGCTGTTAGAAGCCAGAGGACACCATAGAACATTTTCTTGATTGTTTTCCATTCAATTTTTGGTAACTTTTTCTTAATGAATCATTAACAGTTTTGTTCATTCTTTCAACTAGACAGTTGGTGCCTACTGAATAAATACTATGTGGGGTATCTGTCAAACTTCATAGTCTGTGAATCATGTGAAAGTTAGTTGCAACCTAGGCTTTCCTAATTCACTTTTTCAGATTGTATAGGAAATTACGAGGCTGTTTTTTGAAGCTTAAATGAGTTGATTATAGCTTATTTTAATTTAAGAGTTTGTGTCAAGTTGTTTGATGCAACTTCTACTTATAACTTATTAAACAGAAATAATTTAAATAAGCTAATTATCTATAAGTTGAGAGGGGTGTTTTTGGCTATGCATTCTGATTATCAACTTTTAGTTTTACAATAAGCAGCAACCATCTTTTGATTTGCAACCACAAGTAGGAATGTATTGCTCTTGTCATGGGTAGACAATTTATAAATATGAATAACTCCGCTCCAGTCCACTGTTTGAACCGGAGGGTCCAGTTTGGCTCATTGGGGGTTCATTTTGAGTTCATTTCATTGATCCAAGCTGTTAAGGTTTTAGTGCATTTGAGTAGATATACCAAAAAAAAAAAAAAAAAAGGTTGATCATATATATCGGTAATCACATGTTTAGATCACATTTGTCCTTTTAAAAATAGACGGTAAATATAATTTAAAAATAAGCCCTCTATTTTTTTTAATGCATGTATGATGTAATCCAAACATGTGATTATTGATATCTGGCCAATTTCAAATGCATTAAACATTGAACGGTTCAGATTAAAAAATAAACCTCCTAATGAGCGAAACTGGACCCATATATATCATATAAAATAATCTTGACCATACTTATCACATGGTGGGATCTATCATAAAAATACAGTTTCATTCAAATTGCGCTCCTAATGTTTTATGTGACGGAAGGTTTACATCAACACAAATTGATAGTTCAAGGCGTCAAAATATAGCATTTTTTATTAGTTGGAGTAAAGTGTAACTTGCACTAAAGGAAACTACTGTTTTGTTTAGTGTCTGGAGTTCAAGTCTCAAATTGCAGAAATTATATAGTAGGTCAAGAAGACCACGTGTTCATATGCTAGACCAATGAAATGTTATAGTTTGTGCACCAGCTCCTTGTTATTAGGGCCATGTATTTGTTTAGCTCCTTACCATTGGTTGGCACAAAGCCAACGTGGAATTCCTAGAAGATAGGATAATTACTCCTCAAATTGGATTGAATCCATCATCTCATTACTTCTCTCTGTGTGAGTGTTTGTTATGTTGAGTAAGAGGGGAGTTACAAGGTTTTCAAAAGCTTTTCAAATGTATTTGATTCCACAATTCAAAAGAAATAGACAACAAATGAAAACAATGTTGACAAAGCATAAGGAAGAACAAATCAAAACCGCAAAGGAATATATATGCACCAAATTACTGATTTCTATTAAATAACCAGTCATACAAATAATTCTCTCTATGTAATAACCAGTTACAGAAATAACACTAAAAGCTAATAGAGGGCATCTAGTACATCCTTCTATAGATGCATATGAATGAAAAAGCTAAAATCAAGGGGAGATTGGTAAAATATGTGGAGGACAGTATCAACATGGGCTATAAATTGGTTTCTAAATGTCCTCACAATCTGAAAAAATAAAAAAATACAAATAGTTCCCTTAATTTACCTTTTCCATTCCTTTTTTCTTGCAAAATTTAGTACAGAAGTTCAACCAATACCTGAACTTTCATGTGGTGTCAGTCTGATATCTTCATCTCAACTCCAAGAACGTCCTTTACCGCCTCATATGTCACAAATGCAATTGCTATGGAGGGGACCACCTATGGGGTGACAATTGCAATAAAATGTTAATCAAATAGTTTCCATCATAAATGAAAGGACAAACTACCAGAGATAGAACTGAAGAATGCAATTGTCCTTTGATCAAACTAAAACAGTGGGGGAATGTATTAAAAGATGATCATTGTAATATGTAGTACAAACCTTCACTGAATTGGGGACCAAACCCTTGTACAAAGCTCGAAAACCCTCATGCCGTACTGTTTTTCTGAATGCATCGACCATACCAGAATACTCAAGTGGGGCCTTGCTCTTCCCGTCACCAGTGACAAGTGAAGCAGCATCTTTCCAGCCCACCATCTGCATCCTTCGACGTATAACATCAAGAGGATAAGCAACTGTCTGGCCAACAGTTCCAGCAGCAGCCCCACATGCAAGCTTTGTTGTAACACTCAACTCGGAGTCTTCAACTAGTCCAAATGGTCTAGTTTTGATCAACCAGTCTTTTAAAGATTCATATACAGAAAAGTTCAGACCCACATACGGTATCTACAAACATCGCATTATATAATTTAGGCTTCCCAATATAGATATGAGAAAACGATTCATCATAATTATGAAACAAACAGATTCTTAATCTTTATCTTTAAAGAATAATTAGAGTGCAAGCCTATTATGTAACGCTCTGTCTTCAGCATATAACACTCATCAGCACAAAGCTGGTGAAGAATGATAATGGAAAAATCTTTTGACTACAGGAAGACAAAGAAAATTTTCATAAGGATTCTAATAAAAGAGTGATATCATTACCATTTTCATGTGTAAAAGAATTCAACAGGTCCAGATGAACCATTAA